AAAGGTGTGTGGCAAAGGTTTTTGTCGCACAGTGTGTGGAAAAAGTGTGCGGCAAAGGTTTTTGCCGCACAGTGTGCGGAAAAGGTGTGTGGAAAAGGTTTTGCCACACACCGGAAAAAATTTTGCTACACACTGGAAATCAAAATTCAAACCTATTTTGTACCTATTTTCCTCACACATTGCAAAAAAACTTGTACGCAACTCGTGCGGGACGATTTCCCGCACTCGTGTGATAGACTCGCACTCGTGGCCGGTGACGGTAACTCGTACCTTGCGATCACACTCGTGCTACGCACTCGTGTGCTCAACTGGTACTCGTTCCCGTCAACTCCGGCACTCGTGTGAGTCAATCACTTCTCGTGCGGGAAATCGTCTTTTCCGCACTTGTTACGTAAATAACTATTATCATTACAAACTTATGATTACACACCGTAATGCACACCTGATTTAAAACTTTACAAGAGTATCGCATGATTTTAAGTCTTACGCTTATAGGTACTTTGTACATTTCTACAAGAGAATAGCAAAATTAGTAAAAAATGTAGTAAAATAAAATGAAGCTTACCATGAGTAAACAATCCTTTAATTCCTGAAATCAGGGCTAATGATTACTTCTTGTACAAACTTGGAGCAATTATAACACATTATTTTGCATCAGAGCAAAAATTACAACATACACAACAGAATACGTAATTACATTGTAAAAAATTTTTTTTCTTTGAATCAACAAATTCGATGAATGTAAGCAATCCTAAAATGTCAAATAAATAAGTTAGTTTTCAATAAAAAATAAGACCTTGAAACAAAAAGTTGGTTGCTGCAGTGAGATTTTTATTGTTAAAATGATTTCGCTGATCAGAGAATTATTTTACATTAAAAAAATAAAATAAAAACAATCATTGGCACAATAAATTTATATACTTTCAGACCTACAAGTTTTACACAATACAACTCCACCAAAATGACAAACAGTAAAGATGAATTATATTAAACTATTGTTTGACCATTAAAAATTAAATTTTTCAAACAGTCTTGAATTCATTTTTGGATTGTATGGTAATATTTCAAAAATGTAACTTATCGGATTGAACAGAATAGCAGCTATTGATTAGTGAAAACTAATACAAAGATAGCTTCCTTGATTTTTTGAGAAAAATTCTGGGTCCTTTCAGCTAGACCAATTGGTATTTTTTCTCCTTGAAAATGTGCATTTTTTTCATGTAAACCATTTTTTAAAATTTAACTATTCATCTAAGACTTTAAAAACCGTTTAATGCCACTATTGATATATTTTTTTGCACTGTTATAAGAGACAACTAAACGTTAAAACTAAACAGTCAACTCGTATCATTATAATCCAGTAAACATAATTTTATTTATTCTCTAAGATTCTTATAGATTCAGTGAAATTTTTATTAATTCAATATAAACGGCTTGATCACCGATAATGCAATAATCAGTCAAAATAGGAGTTTTTTTAAGTAATGGATCTCAAGTGTTATTAGTTTTTTTTTCAGCACTTGTATTATAAAAATTAAATTTTTGTTTCGTAAAATAAAAAATTTATGTATTTGTTATAATAATAGAAATGTATCGAACGTATACATAAAAAGTTGATCAAACTATTAAAAAATCAAAAATTAATTTTAATAAAATAACTAACTTGATTTAGAAAATATTTAATTGTTCAAGATATTTATTTGATTATAGAGATTATTTTATAATACAGTTCTACAAAATAATAAACTGGTTAATTTAATAAAATGTCAGCTATATAAAAATATACATTTCAAAAATTTTATATTTCATTGCTGCTATTAATTATAAAAAAAAACAAACCATTTTTAATAATAGTACAATTAACCACACTGTATTGCTATTCAAACTAATATTTATCGAATGTTCATTCAATGTAAGCTTCCGCCAACGCAATCTATCTAATTTTATTCAACATAATATTAAATCTACCATTCCCTTACTAATAAAACGTTTCATTCAATGTTGTGGTTGATGAACCAATCACATATTTTTTAAAATTCAGTTAATTATATTGAACAAAGAAAATTTCTTTGGCTTCGTGAAATGTTTTGCATCCAACTAAACACCATACTTACTCTTGGGCACGAACCAGTCGAGAAAATTGTCCTTCGGCGTGCTGTCGTCGTCGAAAATCGATGAGTCCGAAATACTGTCGTCCTCCGTCACGGGTTCCGGAGACGGTTTGTCCGTGACGCTGTTTGAAACATTGGACCGGCTCTTCATGTAGGACAAATAATTTTTCTTGAGCTCGTCTATCAAGGTGCGGTTGACGGGGGGACGATTACTCTGAGACGCGTACTGCTTTCCGCCGGACGGCGCGCTCTCTGGAATTTCAGGGTTATTATTTTCAATGGAGTGTAAAAAAAAAAAAAAAATAATAATTAAAATCAGTTGGAATGTTACGCGATGCAAGCGAGTTTTGGAGGACAAACACGAGCAAAATGCACGCGATTCGCATGATCGTGCGATTCGAGGCGGACATGTTGTCGCGGGAGCTTCCTGCACATGAAAGAGCACAACGTTTTTCATCCGTTTTATACATTCGCATGCAGATTCGCCTTATCGAAACAACGTCTCGAGGAGCCGTTCGCGTTCGATTTTATGGTGATTGGAATTTTATGCTTTCAATTTTTCGTCGCGCTCCGCTCGGTCTTGCCTCGTCTCGATCGGCATTTCGATTTTCGTTTCAAATGAAAAAATAAAAATAAACTATTGCAACCAAGGACGTATAATGGCACATGTCGCACGAATTCGTTGACTTTGACGCATGTGTTTAATTTCTGCATTAAAAAAAAAAAAAAAAAAAAAAACTCGTCAACTTTCAATGGGACGAGCGAGAGTATACGATTAATCAGGGAAAATCGTTAAAACAGTATGCGCCATATTCTCTCGACAACCAAGTATACTTTTATTGCACTCGGTGCATGCGTATATACAAGTACAACTTGGCTCTGCGATTGAAGAGGGGTCGGGTGACCATTTTTACTTTTACACCAACTATTCTTTTGGAGTTATTAATGGAAATGAAGAGCTCGATTCCGAGGGTTGTAGGTACACGATAAATGCCCGAGTGGATGATTTAATTTATTTCGTTAACCACTGCACCATCACAACGCTTTAGACTCTTCTCGAGTTTTTTTTTTCCGATATTTCCCCTTTTGACCTGTTACATGTAGTTCACCGAACCAATAATATCAATTTGGTCATCGAAACCACCCACGAACGAGCTATATTTTTCATCCCTTTCTTCCAACACATTACAACTGGGTGTTTAACGTAAGCAAAGAATCGACGCAACAACGCAATGTTATACACTTTAACCAGATTCAAGAACTAATTGTTTCGTCCAAAATGTAACGTAACAAATTGTTGCTTCTTCCTCGAATCCGTCGAGCAAACAAGTGAAGGAAAAGAAGAAGAATAATGAAGAAAAAGAAGAATCGATTTTCGAAAGGTGCGCAGTATATATATATATATATATATATATATATGATGTTCCATTTTGAAATTCAGTGATCACAGGAGAATGTTATGTCTCATAACTGGATGTACCACTTGATCATTCAAG